CTAAGCATTAACACATGTTAGACTGCACCCCATAAGCACAATCAAACCAGTGAACAAAAACCAGTGAACCACCCCTTTAAATTTGGGGACGGAAAGACCAGAATTGCGATATGGCTGGATGTGACGATTAAACTTCAAAAGGCTATGATTTCATGAAATGAACATGAACGGTGCATGTTCAAAGTCCGGTGCTGTGCTGCTTTGTGTACAGCAGTTACCGGGGAAACAGTTATATTAAAACATTATTATAAGCTAATCGTTGTGAATCAGGCTAAAGTAAGGCGATAGTTTTGAACACTGGCTGGTTATGTACTTGCTCAAATATTGATTTTTGGATCATTTTTAACCAAAAAAAGTTATGGACTGCAGCTTTAAGTGCAAATCTACGGAGCCTTTGTACAAATCAGCATGGTACACATTATGTTATCATTACTAACTTGTTTAATATTCAGTCCACATGCACAAAGTGTAAAACGAAAAGGGCATAACCTTACGAAAAAAGATAACACGCAAAAATCGTGATTGCTGCGGATCTTGCATTCCTCTGTGGCTTGCTCGTCAACAGTATTGCGATATTGCTGTTATCGCTGGCGACAGCCCTAGTTGTAACTAATGCATACAATGTCCAATCTGCCTCAAACTTCACATGTTTGATAAGAGTCCTGGCCTGAAGACATCTACATGATCATATTCGGTTATAGTCATAGCGCCACCAACTGGCAACAGGAAGTGACTTGTTTCACACCAACTTAACATGCAGTGTCTGATCTGCCCTAAACTTGACATGTTTGATAAGAGTTCTGGCCTGAAAACATTTGCATGCCAATATTCAGTTATAATTTATAGCGCCACCTGTTGGCAACAGGAAATGTCATGTTTTACACTAACTCAAACATACCATGTTCAATCTGCACCAAACTTCACAGATTTGATAAAAGTCCTGGTCTAGAGACATCTACATGCCAACATTCAGTTACAGTCATAGCGCCACCAGCTGGCAGTAGGAAGTTTGGCACATATCAATGACTTTGACATATTCCTCCTATATTTATCACTTTAAATTCATATTGCCCATCGTTAGCTGTTTTCCTAAAGCCACCGGGTGGCAGTGAGCCCGGGTGCGAGGGCCCTTTCATTGCTGCTTGCAGCTTTAATATTCTTGTTATATTCTTACCTCTCTTATATTTAGACACAAAGAGATATCATCTTTGAACTCAGACGAATTGCGTTTGATGGAGACAATGATCCCAGTGGAACAGAAAAGAGGAAAGCCATCTACACTAAAGACTACAAGATGCTGGGCTTCACTGTGAGTGATGAGTGTTTGCTCATGTAATAACCTGTGTGATCATTTCAAAATGTAGTGATGTGTGTGATGTGATTGTTTAACACTAGAACCTCCAGAGGTCGCTGTATACCTAAAAGTGCCAGCGGGTAAATTTTACCTACGCACATGGCAACTGTATTTATATGGCTAACATATTATTTCACTGTATTATGCTACTGTCTTCACGAAGAAGTGTCTAGAGTCATGAAATGATTATGTCTAGTCATCAACTATATTTTTATCCTGTTGTTTTATGTTCAAGACTATTTAATGCAGGCTACAATAATCCATAATGGTCAGACAGCGCGAAAATACATGCATTATATAGCGGGTAAATTTGACCCGCTGGCGCTTATGGAACCGCTGGTTTTATCTAAATAATTTTTAACAACATTGGATTGTAAATTACATAATTTTAGTAAAAGTCAATGACTGGGAGACTTGAATGTTGTATTTTAAATCTGTTATGTACATTTGAAAAACAGCCACGGGTAAAATTTACCCTGTGACGGTTCTAGTGTTAATGATGATCAATGATGGTGATGTGCTGATATGTGTGATGGTTTGATGATGATCAGTGATGTTGATGTGCTGATGTGATGGTTTGATGGTTTGATAATGATTGGTGATAGCCATGTGCTGATTGTGTTTTGTGTTTTGTGCTCAGAATCCTGTGAATCCTGCAATGGATTTCACTCAGACACCCCCGGGAATGTTGGCACTAGACAACATGCTTTACCTTGCCAAAGTGCATCAGGACACATATATCAGAGTAAGAACACACATCCATAACTCTCATCTCTTTTGTTTTCTATGTATTTTCTCAAGCACAGTGTCCTCTTTGTAATTGTTGAGTAAAAGTAATTATGTAAAACAGGGTCAGCTATAATAATTACACTACAATAATAATAATACATTATAGTATTGGGTTATTCTCCCAGATGACCCTTTATATATCTTGTATCACTTTTCAAAGAACAAAAGTCAATTGATTATTTATCCTTTCTTTTCAGTGGAACATGTAGTGTGGTGCTGCTCATGCGCTTGTGTCTTTTGTGATTCACTATCCCCTTCCTCTTCTCCCTTCTGTTTCCTATGTCCCCTTTCACCTTTTCTATTGATAAAAACATATAATAATAATAAAATAGCATAAAAGTGATCCACATGTCAGTGGCCTATACATACTGTGGTTTTGTTTTGCAGATTGTTCTAGAAAACTGCAGTCGAGAAGATAAACATGAGTGCCCATTTGGCCGCTCTGCCATTGAGCTGACGCGCATGCTGTGTGATATTCTCCAGGTTGGAGAACTGCGTAAGTATTCTGCGATCTTTTCGATTCCTCAGTTCACTGATGAATGAGTTGGACTTTGTTCGGAGGCTCAATTACAGCAGCTTTAGAGGAGATCCAATGCGATTTCCACCTGAAAATCATTATTATTCTCTCATCATTCACTCATCCTACAGACATTATTGCTGTAATCCAGAGTAGGGGTATGCGATATTGACAAAAAATAATATCTCTCGATATTCGCTATGATTTTATCGATAATGATAAATAGACAATATTTTGCTGATTGTGCTGATATCTTAAAGACTACCATGGACAGCTGACTCCTAAAGTTTTGATATTCTTCATATTCTGTGTGGTGGTCAGTTCACAGCAGTGATAGAAATTAATATTTTCCAATAAGTTGATTTTTTAGCTTTTATGGGCATTTTTACCTTTATAAAGCTATTTGTTTCTTAAAGTGTGCATCATCTTTTTAGTCAAATTCTTACATTATTTAGTCAATTAGAATAATAAGACATTTGGGCTGTTACCAAGCAAATGAAATCAGTACCAACAAAATTAATCTTTGCAATGCAGAGGAAACACAGAAGCTGTGGCATTAGATGTATTTACACACTGTTTAATGCAGCTTAGAGGGACATGGGATGCTTTAACCTGCAGTTACAAATGCATAAATAATGTTTTGATATCTTAAACATTAAACCTTGAATACTGATGTTTGAAATTATTTAAAAAATGAAAAGATACAGTGGCATGCGAAAGTTTGGGCACCCCTGGTCAAACTTTCTGTTATTGGGAACAGTTAAGCAAGTGGAAGATGAAATGATCTCCAAAAGGCATAAAGTTACAGATGACACATTCCCTTTATAGCCTATTTTAAACAAAATATTTTTTTTTATTTTCATCTTTTACATTTTCAAAATAACAGAAAAGGAAAAGGGCCAGCTGCAAAAGTTTGGACACCCTGCATAGTTAGTACCTAGTAGCACCCTCTTTGGCAAGTATCACAGCTTGTAAATGCTTTTTGTAGCCAGCCAAGAGTCTTTCAGTTCTTGTTTGAGGGATTTTCGCCCATTCTTCCTTTCAACAGTCTTCCAGTTCTGTGAGATTCCTGGGCCGTCTTGCACGCACTGCTCTTTTGAGGTCTATCCACAGATTTTCAATGAGGTTTAGGTCAGGAGACTGTGAGGGCCATGGCAAAACCTTCAGCTTGCGCCTCTTGAGGTAGTCCATCGTGGATTTCGAGGTGTAGTTAGGATCATTATCCATTTGTAGAAGCCATCCTCTTTTCAACTTCAGCTTTTTTACAGACGGTGTTTAGTTTGCTTCCAGAATATGCTGGAATTTAATTGAATCCATTCTTCCCTCTATCTGTGAAATGTTCCTTGTGCCATTGGCTGCAATACAACCCCAAAGCATGATCGATCCACCCCCATGCTTAACAGTTGGACTGGTGTTCTTTTCACGAAATTCCGTGCCCCTTGTTCTCCAAACATACCTTTGCTCATTGTGGCCAAAGAGTTCTATTTTAACCTCATTGGTCCACAGGACTTCTTTCCAAAATGCATCAGGCTTGTGTAAATGTTCTTTTGCAAAATTCAGGTGCTGAATTTTGTGGTGAGGACGCAGGAGAGGTTTTCTTCTGATGACTCTTCCATGAAGGCCATATTTGTGCAACTCCAGAGTCTGCCAAATCTCCCTGGACGTCTTTTGCAGTCAAACGGGGGTTCTGGCTTTTCTAGCAATCCTACGAGCAGTTCTCTCTGATATTTTTCTTGGTCTTCCAGACCTTATCTTGACCTCCACTGTTCCTGTTAACTGCCATTTCTTAATTACTTTCCGAACTGAGGAAATCGGTACCTGAAAACACTTTGCTATCTTCTTATAGCCTTCTCCTGCTTTGTGGGCGTCAATCATTTTCATTTTCAGAGTGCTAGGCAACTGCTTAGAGGAACCCATGGCTGCTGATTGTTGGGACAAGGTTAGAGGAGTCTGGGTATTTATAAAGCTTTGAAATTTGCATCAACTGGCATTTCCTAACGATGACTGTGAACAAGCCATGACCCTAACAGGCTAATTAAAGTCTGATACCTTGGTCAAAGTTATCTGAGAGCTCAAGTCTCCTGGGGTTCCCATTCTTTTGCTGGGTGCTGCTTTCCCCTTTTTCACTCAAAAATTGTAGAAAACAAAAACAATACACTGATATTGCTTAAAATATTGCAAAAGAGTTTCATGTTTAACTTTATGCCTTTTGGAGATCATTTCATCTTCCACTTGCTTAACTGTTCACATTAACAGAAATTTTGACCAGGGGTGCCCAAACTTTCGCATGCCACTGTACTTTAAATGTGAAATTAAAACTGCCAGTAGGTGGCAGCAAGTCACTGTTAATAAGTGAGTCATTGCGATTGAAACAAATCATTTAAACGGGCGATTCATTCAGAAACGAAACACCATCATGTTGCTCGGAGACGCAAAATGGTGCTTTGTTTGGAATTAATTTTGTTGGCGAATATAAAATCAATATCATATTTGTAATCATGCTGATTTTTGGAGAAAAAACAGCACTTTTCGTCTGATATTCTTTAACTATATGAAATTATATAAATACATAAATTTTCTGCTCCCATATCTTGAATTTTGTGATCATTCTAAATGCATTTTAATAGACTGAATCATGCAGTGAAAGAACGGACTGTAAATGCGCATGCGCATTAGTCTAACCTACTAGTCTTCATCACGTAATGTAAGTGTGTACTCTGTGTTTTGTTTGGCTTTTGCGATATACTCGATAACGTAAAATCGCACATTGTTAAGACAACAATTACGATATTATCGTAGACGATATATATCGCACACTGCTAATCCAGAGGTCTTCAACCCTGCTTGTGGGGACCCACTGTCCAGCAGAGTTCAGCTCCAACCCTAATCAAACACCTGAACCAGTTAGTTAAGCTTTTCAGGATCACTTGAAAATACACAGGCAGGTGTGATGAAGCAGACTGGAAATAAAATTTCTGTGTGAAGCAGGCAAAAGTTTTAATGTCATCCAGTATCAGTTTTGTTACACTTTTAAGTTGCACTGTGACAAATGTTTCTGTAATGTGTGTGTTTCTGTGATGTACTGTGACAGTCATATAAAGAGAGGCTTGTGGAAATGCGGATGTAAACTTGTCTTGTCTCTGCAGCGAATGAAGGGTGTAACGACTTCCATCCCATGTTTTTTACCCACGAGCATGCTTGGGAAGAGTTTTTCTGCGTCTGCATACAGCTGCTCAGTAAGACATGGAAAGAAATGAGGGCCACTGCAGAAGATTTCAACAAGGTGTGTGTTAGTGAGAGTGTCTGCTAGAAGACAGACAGTTTCATGTGCGTGTGTTTGTGTCAGCGAACACTCTGTGTGTGTATTTTAGGTGATGACGGTGGTGCGGGAGCAAATCACTAGAGCTCTGGCCATGAAACCGCCGTCTCTGGAGCAGCTGCGGGTCAAACTGCGCAGTCTAAGCTACTCGGAGATCCTGCGTCTGCGTCAGTCAGAGAGAATGAGTCAGGACGACTTCCAGTCGCCTCCTATAATGTGAGTAAAGAGCAACTGCATCAGTAAGCTGTATTCAAGATCAAGGATCTCCTAATCAGTCAATCATGTAGTTATCAGGGATGTGATTTTTCCGTATAAATACAGATTTCCGTATTTTCCGACCTCTGAGGGACATGTGGTTCACGTAGATCCGAGGTTTTTTTTTGGATGGGGGTTGGTTACTGCATGATGATTGAAATCGCACAAATGGCCTGAAGATATTACCTAAATAAACTAGGAAAAGATTGTTTTGTAAAACATCATGGACGGAATGGTCCTGAGAGCGCTGCACGAGCTCGCGGCGCCATCTACAGGACAGTTAAAAGCGTTCAAATGATTCAAAGCACCAAACGCGAGTAGAATCAGCGCTGAAACGTGTTACTCGACCCGGTGACTTTTTATGAATGGCGGTGAGAATTTGAGATTGCTAGTGCTGTCATAACATTCGCAACGGTTGTGATGTAATTATATAATAGGCTGTAGTCTGACGCACTACATGTCTGCTGTTACAGTACTGTTTGTGACAGTACTGTTTTTAGTTTCTATTCACTCCTAGCTGCGCTTGGTTTGAGCCGCTTTAATTTGCATTTGGGAACGCAACATTCGTCATTAGAAACGTTTATAAATCAAGTTTCAGTGTCACATGATCTTCAGAAATAATTCTAATATGCTGATTTGCTGCTCAAGAAACATTTCTCTTTATTATCCATGTTAAAAACAGTTTTGCTGCTTAATATTTTTGTGGAAACAATGATACCACTCAAACATTTGTATAAGAT